TCAGATATTCTGGTGAGCTAGAGGGCAGAGCTTCCACACTGTGCTGGCTGTGATCACAGGACCATTCAGGCTGGAAAGGAGCTCTCAAATTCTCAACTCCCACCTCACCCCACTGTGCCCCCTGACCACAGCCCTCACTGCCACATCTCCATGGCTCTGGGACACCCCCAGGGTTGGTGACCACCCCCCTGTGCCCCTGCCTGCTGCTCTTGTGGAGGAGTTTTTCCTAATATCCAACCTGAAAATGTGGTGTTTTTCCTATCTCAGCACCTGGTTCGGATTTGAATTCAGGTTAATTTGGAATAAGTATAGCTGAGAAATGAGTAAGTGATGTTTGTACTTGTTGTGAGATGCCTAAATTACATACATTCATCTTTTTCAGCCTAGGCAAATAAAAACAGTATCTTTTTTCTGGCTGCAGCTGAACAGGTGAGAGGTTCCCTGCCAGTCTGCACAGATCTCTGCTGCGATTTTACTGCACAATCATCCATCTCACATGTGTGGGTTCCTTGGTTTTTTTTTATCTTTTCTACTACAGGTTTGTGGAGCAGGGGGAAGGAGTGGGCTGTGTGTGTTGGGAGTTCTGAGGCTGTTTTCTGGTTTCTAAAAAAAGAAGTGAAGTGCATTGCTTAAATAATAAATCTCAAGCTTCCCCTGGAGGTGGTTTAGGAGGTTTCCAACTGGCACTGCAGCTCATCAGTGAGCACTCCTGATCCTGGGTGTCTGAGATGGAGGTAGCAGGTCTTGAGAGACTGATGCCAATTACAATCCCAATTTCAGACAAACTTGATGCATTCCTGAATGTTGATACAGTACCACCTCCAAGAGAAGCTCTGCTGTTGGTTGAGTAGAACTGCAAGGCTTGAGATTGTGCTTAAAGCTTTCTATTTTGGGAGCAGCTACTCTGAGTACTTCGTTCTCCAAATCCTTGTACCTGATGCTCTAAGTGGGACAGAGTTTGGTGCTCCTCACGGTGATTTATGGTGAGATGCATCTTGCTTGCTGTGCACCCATCCTAAAGTAAGCTGGAGGAGCTCTGCCTGGGGTGATGCCTTGTTCTCCCATCAGTCTCCCCTGTGCTGCTGTGCTTCATTCCAAAGGTCAACTGTTAGGAGCACGTCACTCACTGAGTCAAAATGGAAGGTGATGTGCTGCAGTCTTGGCCCGAGAGTTTCAATAGATGCAGCTTGATGCCTTTTCATTTCAAGTGGGGATTTCAGCAGTATGATGAAGATGCACACAATGTGCCGCCCTCTCCTCCCCTTTCTTCTCCAGCTCTGTGTTGCCCCCACCCAGAGGAGCGTCCCTGATGCTGTGCAATGATGATTTGCTTTTTCCTTGTTGGAAACTGAGGTCATTCAAACCCATGTGGTTATTTGAAGTTTTCAATTTTCATTTAGCAATTCACTGCTATATGTCGTCGCTACAGTTTTGGCAGCCTGAGAAAAACAGCTGCATGAAATGAAATCCAAGAAAGACTTGTGATGCTGTGAATGAAAAGAGGAAAAAATAATAGAGCACGAGCCAGCATCAATTTTGTCCTACCATAAAAAGTATTGATTGAAATAGTATGCAGCTATCTTGGGTTTCTGGGCTGTTGACTGCTGCACTTTTGGCAGAGCTTCCCCTTTTGCTTTCACTTCTGCATGCAGGATAAAGACTACAGGCAAGGGTACACACACAGGGTGCCAGGAAGGTAAGGTAACAAAATGGAACGCTTTGGAATCATAGCTTTTCCAGTTTCCTTTCATCTCTTTCTGACTTGGTCTGTGCTGTCTATTGCAGCTGGCCCCATCTCAGATGTGTGTGTTGAGCTGATGTGAGGGAGTGCACCAGGTTTTGTGTTGGAAGGGAGACAGGCTGTCAGATCCATTCCTCTCTCCAAACAATTTGAGGCAAAGGAATTTAGGACAAAATAGGTAAGACAAGCTGGTCTAGAAGTGGTCAGTCGCATGGTGGTGTTCAGTGCTGGGTTTTGTGCTGACTTGCTGATAGAATGTCACTGATTTTGTGAAAGGGAAAAGGCAGGCTGTTACTGCACTGCCATCTTGGCAGATGTCTGGAAACCTAATTAGAGTTAATAGCAAGGAGAACTGTTGTCTAAATAGTTTTCGGTATGTGCAGTGTGACTTTAGGTCAAAATAAATACACTGAAATAATGCTCAACTCAGGTATCAGCTCCTTTTAAAACAAAACAGGATTTCCAAAGCCCTCATTTGGGAATTGGGTGAAGTCATGTGGCACAACCTGTGCTGTGGAGCAGGACAGCAGGTGGGTGCTGTGCAGCTTGGGTGCACGCCTCAGAGCTGGGGACTTTGGAACCATCTTTCCATGCAGTGCTGCAGAAATCCCTCAGCTTGCTAAGAGCATCCTTCCAGTTTCCCGAGGAAAAGGTGTCAGAGGTGCAGGAAGTGCAGGTCCTCATGCTGCTAGCAGTGTTGGGGGTTTGCTGATGTGTATTGGGTGCTCGCACTGATTTCCCCTTCCAACTTCTAACAGAACAGCAGCAGGCATTGGGCGCAGTCTGCTTGCAAACTGTAACACAAGTGCTGATAAGCACTACTAAAGCTACAAAGTATTCTTGGACTACCAACTATCTTTTTATGATTTGAGATCTCTAACTTTTAACTTTTTCTCTTTTCAAGCAGTCTTTCTAAATGCTTACACTGCAGGTGATCTACTCCATTGTAAACTAAGTGGATAGCAATATAAAAGGGTTTCTGTCTGCACAGAGGACACCTCTGTGCAGTGTAACTAGGAAATACTTTGTTTTACTGTTGGAAGCAGTGATGGCTGAGCACAGCCACATTTCAGCAACGGAGCAGTGCTGGGCCTCTGGCTCCTTCCTGCACAGCCCTGCCCCTATGGTTGCACTGTTTCCTTTCTGCTCTGTGGTGAATGGATGTCACTTCCTTGATTAAGATGCTGGTGTGCAGCCAAGCTGCCTTCCTATGGGCTCGTGTGCTCTGAGGAGCAGCCCTGAGCTGTGCTCCTTCCTCAGCTGAGTGCAATGAGATGAGTGCCTCCTGCTCCCCCTGCAGCAGCCTTCCTACCTGCTCCACTGAGCTGCAGGACTGTGGCTGTTGGAGGCACTGAAGATGGATTACCCAAAAGCACAAGCTATGCTACCAGCCACGAGCCCTCTGCATCCCATGGGGAAGGTGTAGGCAGTGTGCAGGCACAGCAGACGTTGCTCCTCTGTGTGGAAGCTGCCATGAAATGACCTGGGTGCTTGCTCCTCTGGGCTCACTGCAGGCTGACTGGAGTGCTCCATCCTCTTTGTTGCTGGCTTTCTTAGGCTGCCATTCAAGTGGCCGATCAGAGCAATCATGTTTGCCTTCATGAAGACTGTCAGTATAGCAGACTTGAATGAGCAAGATGAGCAATATTGAGTCCTTCTGGGACAAAATGTCAGCCTCTTCATCCAAGCTGTGTTTCTAGCAGTGATACAGTTCTGGTATTTATGTGGTTTTGTAACACAGGCACGTTGTCACGCTGGGCACACGTGGACCAGTGCCTTTGCTCGTAGATATAACTTTTCCATTTGTAGGTCAGAAACAAAACGAATGTGCCCAAAGCTGTTGTCCCAGCACTGAATGAGGTAGCTGTGCTTCCCCCTAGCAGGATGGGGCTGGCTCCTGCTCTCCTGTTTCCTCCACGCTGTTTCAGGATGCTGTGCAGCACTTCTACAGATGCTGTGCTCAGAGGACAGCCTGCCTGCTTGCCTCTTGTAAATGCTGCCTTTGACTTTCCCTTCTGTTCCAGCGTATGTTTTCTCCCATTCATTGTAATCCAGGTCTGTGTGCCTGTGACATAGACTGACAGACTGAGTAAATGTCACTTGATAACAGGGCTGCAGAATGACCTGCTCAAGTAAATGCTAGTTTGTGCCCAAGGAAGCAGTGACTTCACTTTTCAAGTGGTAGGTTATTAGTGGAGCTAATTTTAGCAGCACGTTATCAGTGAAGGTTTAGCCAGTGTTGTTTGTTTTTTTAATGCGCAATTATAGTCTGCTTTTAATGAGGCACCAACTGGTTAACTCGTTAAACTTCAGCCATTGCAAAACAGGCTTCATGAAAGCGGGATCTGTTGAATTTTGCAGGGGATACAGCATGGAATAATAACAAAAACCACAGTTGAAAAATGCTGGAGGAAGAGATGAGTATTTCCAAGTCACAGTGACCTGTTGGGCTTTCTGAACACGTTTCAGCAGCCAAGCTGCAATTTGCTTTGCATCTCCCTCCCTTTTTGGCACCCTTCTCTGTTTGCAGTAACTTCAAGGGTCGGTGGTGGCTGCAGGACTCCTGGGAGGAGGAGAACTTACTGAGGAGCTTCTGCTCATGTGGGGCAAAATCAGCTGCCGAGGGAGTGCTGTTCCTTTTGATCTCTTCACTCAAGTGTTTCCTTGGTGCCACTGTGCTCCTTTTCCTACATTCCTGAGCAGCCAAGCAGACTCACAGAGAGCTTTATTAAATGGAGCCCAAAGCTCAAAGACTGTGAGAAACGTTGGCTTTGTTTGCTCGGGTCCCTTATGGTTTGCACTCTTGTAAAAATTCCCTTTCTTTTCCTATTCAAACATAAAGCCATGCAGCCAGAGCCCACCTTCTGGTAGAAATCCATGATGCATGTGCAATAAATCCTGCATGTGGACAGACTGCTGCTCCAGCCGGGAAGGTGTTTGCATTAATACTGTATATAGAGTAAGAGACATGGTGAGAGCTTGACTTAAAATAGTTTTTAAGTGAATGTAGGAAGCATCAAAACCCAGGCATGCATTATGAATACCATCTCTGATAGTGTATGGGGTGGAAACTTGAATACCAATGATGTTTGCCCTGGGATGAAGTAGTGCTTGCAGGTCCATACAGAGCTCACAGATGCGTAGAGCTGTGGGTGGCTGTGGCTGCACGTCCAGGCAGGGCTGATTTTAATCCTGTACCCCCACCCTTGGTTCTCACAGGTCCTGCAGGTGCATGGTGCAGGGCAGCCTGGCTGCTTGCAATTACCTGCTGCTTGCCTGCAGTTCAGCTTGCACTTTCCCAAAGGCACGACCTGCTGCCATCCTGCAGCTGCATGGGTGGAACATCTGTTTTCTGCTGTTGGCCACTGCAAGCGCTGTATCGAGGAATAATGAAGACTGCTGCTGTCAGTGCTGCCTGCAGTGTTGACTTGCTGGCACGGCGGACATCCTTTCCTTCAGTTGCTGGGGAATTGGCCGTGTGGCTGTCACACATCAGCACAAAGTGATTTCAATGGAGCATCTGTCAATGCAAGCCCTGCCTGCAGACAGACTTATTGACAGAGGTTTTTGTAAGTGATTAAAACTGCCATACCCTGCTGTGCTGTGTGAGCAGCTGTGGTGCTTCCACGTGCTCCCATAATGATGGAAAGTGTCTTTAGGGAAAGACCCATGGATCAGAGGCAGCCTGGTCAGCCTTTCTGATTCCCAGCAATGACACAAATGAGCTGAATGTGGAGTTGTCTTATTCCATCCTGCTTTGTGCACTCCCTTGTTTTTCTTCCTGATGTTTGACGTGTTGCAGTGTTCCGGAGTGAATTAGTGGGCTTGTTAGGAAAACAAAGTGCTGGGGGTGGGCAGCAGCACTTGTGTGTTGTGCTCTCGTGGGTGGCCTCCAGTTTGTGGGGGCTTTGAAGCAGGAGGAGTGCTTGCCTGTGCTGCTGCAGGACCTGGGGATGCTCGTTTCCCTGTGCAGGAATCTCCCCTGTGGTTTAGAGTTGCAGTTCTTAGGAATGAGCCTCCAACAGCACCATTTAAAACACAAATTCAGTGCTTTTGCATTGTGTTGGTGTGTGTTACTGCTTGTGATTGCTTGAATATCAGTGTGTAGAACCTAACTTTACGATTTCTGAAGTATGTGTTTTGATTGCAGTGCAGAGCTCGTGCAAATGAGTGATGTGTTACTGCTGTTCATGGAATGTCTCTCTGTGTATTTATCAGACAGTAATTACCTCTGCTTATCCAGGATGACAGTGGTGGCATGTGGAAATGAGCACCAGGCTGACACTGCAGCATTGCTGTCAGTGCCTGCAGGGCCGTGTGGCACTGAGAGCCTGCGCTGCTCTCATTCATTCTGGTGTATGGTTATAAACAACTGCATTTAAGCTCATCTTCCAGCACTGCAGTGTTAGGCCAGGGGCTGCAGGGCGAAAGCAGAAGTGCAGAGGAGGCAGTCTGTGCTCTGTTGAGCAGGACGTGGTGACAGAATGCCCAGATGGATTCTAATTCCTCTGTAACTCCCAAAGCAAATTCCCAGCAGTGTGTTTCTGGAATACTTCTCCATGGGTGGTCTAAGAAGGCAAAGCTGCATTTTGTACTGAGCTGTTGGGATTTTAGGCTGTGTGTACATGTCAGAATTTGGCTTGCAAGAGAACAAACAAGTAATTATGTGTACAACTGTTTTCCCAGATAAGTTAGCGGAAGTTAATCCCTGATTTTTCTCAAGTTACTGATGCTCACTTGCTTTTTCCCTTTCAGTTACTATGTGGGCAAGCTGCTGTAACTGGTTCTGCCTGGATGGCTCACCCGAGGAGATGCAGGCGCCGCAGGGAGCCCGTGCCCAAGCCTACTCCAACCCTGGGTACAGCTCCTTCCCATCACCCACAGCTGCTGAGCAGAGCTGCAAAGCGTGCGGGCTGCACTTCGACAGCTCCTCGAGGAAGGTGAGTTGTGAGAGTGTTCCACGGTGCCACTGGATTAAGGGAATGGTCAGTTTGCAGCGTGCCCTGTGCCTCCCCCTTCACTACAAAGAGCCAACATGAAGAGAGATGAGTGTTCACCGGGGGCATCTGATTTGAGGTTACCATATGGAAAAGGACAGCTTGTCTTTGCTTCTGTGTCTTGTTGTCATTCCTTGGCAATTAGCAGACACTGTTAAAGATGCCGTAACCTCCATCTTGACTTCCCTAGCTGTAATCACTTAGAGGAGAATTACATTCAACATTAGCCTTTAATTTACCCCTTAAAAAGAAAAAAACCCATTGTACTGAGAAGCATCGTTGTTTATCTCTGCTTTCAGTAAAGGAAATTCCATGTATTTCTTCCAAGCTGCTATTGCAAACTAGAAGTCATAAAGGGTTTTTTGAAGTTGTATGTTACATTGCTGAAGCTTAGTGCCAAAAAAAACCCCACAACCTAATCCATTTAATCTTGTTTGTAAACCTCATTTGTGAGCATACCGATGCCAAAATAATTGTTGCCACAAGGTCTTTTAATTAGACAGCAAACGCTGCCACTGATATTATTGGGGTGTGGTGGTTCCTATAGTGCTGCTTGAAAAAGCTTTGAGTAAAGAAAGCTGTTCAGAGTCCAAACTCTGCTGCCTCACTGTGTGATCTATTTGCTCACATAGGCAAACAGCAGAGAAGTGGTAAGTCCTGGTCCAGCTGTTGCTTTCTACTCTTAAAACAACAGGGATGTTGATGAATTTTCGCACTGGGAAATGCTCCAGGAATCACTACAGCTTGAAATCTGGGGGTGTTCCTCTTCTTTGTGCTCTCAGGCTTTTCCCTGACATTGGGCAGTCTCTGAGTCAGCTGGGAATAGTGCAAGCACTGCACGTGGCTGCCGTAGTGCTGTCTGTGTGCTGCCCTGTTCCTGTGGTGTCCTTGTTGGGATCTGCTGAAGCAACATGAGATGTTTCAGCCCCCAGTGAGTCCTGTGCTTCCCCTGGTGCTGGCTGGCTGTGTATGTGGGACAGCCCAGTACAGTGTGTGCTTCTGTCCCAGCTGCTCCCATTCTGTGCAATCCATGGAAATGTGTGAGGCTTACATCCTGCATTGTGAAGGGGGCTCCTCAGCCATGGGCCACTTCTGCCACCCTGTCACTGGGCTGGATCTCAGGGGCTGACTGGAGCTGGATGGCTGCAGGTGGTGATGCAGAGCAGCTGCAGGAAGGCTGCTCCAGATGGGGGTTTGGCATAAAGAACTGTATACACAGCTTAGAGGAAAAACTGACATGTCTGTAAGCTGTCTTGTTTCTTTAATTCTGTTGATGTGGACCAAGCTATGTATGAAGTCTCACTCTGATGCAACAAGACTGCAGAAAACTGTGTTTTGTCCCAGGAGAGGCAGTACTTCTGAACTCCAGGGTCCAGCTAATCCTTGTGCTGGAATACGATGGGTAAACTATGAATTCCTTATGCACTGCAGACCATGTGGATAACTTAAACAATGACTTCAATTCAGTTAAAAAGGCAGAATGATGGTATTTCAAGAACTTGAATTTGAATCATAATTGTCTTAAATTTTCATGTGGAGTGGCACCTACTGAAAGGAGTGGGGTAGGGAACATGTGAGCAAAGCGTGTACTTGTAAGATGCTTATGAGTAACTACTGGAGCATCATGAAAAGATGTAAAATGTAATTGTGGAAGCACAGACTGGGATGATTGGCTTCCCCTGAAGATGGAGAGCAGTGGGAGCTGATGGTCAGGGACCTGGCTGTGTTTTGACTTCTTGAGTGCATGATAGGTAAGTGGGGCTGGCTGTGGCATCACTGTTTGGAGAAAGCACACTGCATAATACAGCCTTTGCTGCACTCGTGGCTGTGATATCTGGGCACAGAGGCACAGTTTGGGGCTGGAAGGTCCTTGGCCATAGAGTGTGTTCGCTTGAAAAAGACAGTGTGGGAGTTAGAGCATGGGGAGGCTCCTTCCAGCTGGAAGCAAGCATGCTGTGTATTCTTGTGTTTGGTTCTTTGTTTTTTCCCTCCCCTCAGTTCTCCTGATGGCTGTCGTGCAGAGGGTGGGTCGCTGGGAGAGGGAAGTGCTGTTGTGTGCTTACTTTCCTATCGCTGGCCTTCCTGCAGTGCTTGTTCTCCCACTCCAGCACAACCACAAGGCTCTGTCTCTCCCCTGAAACTTCTCGAAGTAACTGCATTGCTCCTGCAATCCCAAGGTTTAAAAAAAAAAAAAGTCAGCTAAAAGCTTCCAAAATGTATTTTTCATAATGACCAGCCTACAGAACGCTTCTCAGAACTGGATGGTAAACGGAGATTGCCCTTCCTGCCTTGTTTGTGACTGATGAAGGGCCCTTTTGCATGGCACTCCTCCAGGGAAAAGCAATTCTGAGATGAGTTTCAGGTTTGTGTGACCAGAGAGTCCCTCTGTGCAGAAGTTTCCTTTGGTGGCAAATCTGTGGGTTGGCACTGTGGGGCTGCTGGGCTGCAGAGAGGCTCAGGAGGAGCTTCTGTCAGCAGGAGCTGTGTTACACCCTGCAACGCAGGGCACAGGTCTGCTTTCTTTAAACTGTGACATTAGAGATGTTCTTGAATCACTAAGAGCAATTCATGAGACTTTTTTCTATTTGTCATTCCCCCCCAGCTGTTCATGGGCATTTTTCCTGCAGCACTCCAAAGGGTGAGGATGCTCTGAGCCATAAGCAGGAGGGAGAAAGCTGTTTCTCCATTCCAAGCAGCTGCAGAAATAAAGGGTGTAAATCATGAAGCCCAGAACTCGTGTGGTGTGGCTGATGGTCTCTCTGAAGTGCACTTTTGCAATTCCTATTGGAAAATGCAGGGTTTGACTTTCCCAAGTGTTGATCAGTTTTTTTCAGAGGTCAGCATGGATGGTGAGTGCTTGGAGCTCCTGGAAATTGAGCCCTGGCTGATGACATCAGGGCAGTGGGAGATGCATGCGTTAAACAACAGAACTTTGATCTGGAAAGCTTTTAAACATCTGAGGCCTAATATTTCCAAAAGCTCCAAGTGCCTGGCACAGATTCCCACACACTGTGAATATCATAGAAAATAAGTTGGTTTCATTGCATAAGAGTAGAATTCTGTTGTCTGTCAGTGTAGGCCTTGCTGTCTCCTTTTCCTCTTACTTTCATTTGGTGACTGTGGTGAAATGGACAGGAAGATGGGGGGAGGCAGTCATCCATAGCAAGTAGTGAGAAATGGAGATGTGTTTTAAGCAGTTCTCTCTCATGCTGCAGCTTTCCTAATGCACAGAGTGGTGTTTTACAGGCAGTGCACAGCTGGCTGGGCTTTACTCTGCAGGCAGCTGCCTTGCAGGTAGCTTGAGATTTCATCTGTGGCTGCAACTGGATGAACGGGTCTGGATGAAAATGGATGAACGTGGTGCAGAGTAATTTCAGAATGAATTCCTTCCTGGGCAGGTCTCTCTGTGGGCAGGGTTTTCTATGAACTGTGAGGATTCCAGCTGTCTGCTCTTAGGAGAGTTCTCCTCATTTGGGATCATCCATACGTACTTGGTGCCACCTGTCAGCAAGAAGGGTTTGCTGGTGCTCTGATGGGGTACAGCTTGCCTTGGCTTCCAGGCGCCACCGCTGCAGTTGCTGTGCTGCCGTCTCAGGGCACGGCGGGTTTGTTTGATTCTGCTCCCTTCTCTTTGCCAGCATATCTGCCTGGACTGTAAGAAGAACTTCTGCACGTCCTGTTCCAGCCAGCCCGAAGGCGGCCCCCTGCTCTGCCACCTCTGCCAGCGCGTCCGAGCCACGGCTTTCCAGCGGGAAGAGCTGATCAAGATGAAGGTGAAGGATCTGCGGGATTACCTGGCGCTCCGCGAGATCTCCACCGAGCTGTGCCGCGAGAAGGAGGACCTGGTGTTCCTGGTCCTTGGCCACCGACCGGCGCTGAGCCAGGAGGAGCAGATGAGAACAAACCCGTTTCACACTGGTGCCTCTGGACAGCAAGACTTTGTGATTCTCCCACCGCCCAGCGCAGCCTCCCCTACCTCACACGACACGTCCCCAGTGTCTGCAGATCCCATCTCAAGCTCTCTAGCTCAGGAACACCGCGAGGTACAGTCTCCAACCAGAAGCATCTTTTGCAGGATGGTCCGCCTCTACTTTCAGTTGCTGCGTGAGGTTTTCCAAGTAGGCAATGTGCTGGGGAAGTTTAACGTTAAAGATGTCTGCGTACAAAGCAGATGCGTGGGTCTGTCTCTGTGCTGATGTTGACAACTTTGACAACCATTTAATCTAATATTACATACAATTGTTTTGTTCTTTGAGTGCAAGCACAGTCCAAAGCATCCTGCATCTGGAGGTGCTGGAGAAGAGTGCTGTGAGATGGGCAGGGTGTTTAGTGTCAGCTGCACCCAGATCAATAGAAGACAGAGCCCCAGCTCTGTTGCTAGTCTCCCATTTATGATGAATGCTGTTGTTCTGATGAACCTTGTAAAAGTTTGCTCTTTTTTTTTTTTTTAAAGTTGATTTTTGCTTTGTTTGTCTTCCTGCTATCTGGCCTAGGAAGTTTACACAGTGTTTGACATCTGCTCCTGGTCTGTTACATAAGTTAATGGGCATATTTACTTCCTGTGGACTAGAGCAGGGAAAGTCGATGTACTATCTGCCTTCTGCTTCCTCAGCAGGTGTCTTGTACAAAAAAAAAATCCCCAAATAATTTAAAACAACAAAAAAAATCCCCACATGTATTTAAGGAGCCTTTTCATTTTCCAGATTCATGGATGTTTCCAATCCCATTTTTTAACCTTTGTACTCTGTACCCTTACTGCCCTGTGATACATTTCAGCTTCCTTTCTTGACTCACAGGACATCCTGCTACAATTCAGGTCCTCTTTTTGTTGATACTCATTTTGTTTTGTAAACATTAGCAAGTCACCATTTCCCTAAGTAGGATGGTAACATTACAGCCTCATTTGTCAGCAGGCAAACCAGAGGGGAATGACAGCTGAGGGGCAGCCAGCTGCAATTACACTGCAGTTCCTTTCACTTTATTAGATGATCAGAGCAACTGCCATTTCTTTCTCCAGTACTGTTTCTGCTGGTCCTCCACTTAATATCTCCTATTTATCTGATCCAGAACAAGCTGAGGAGGTATTTCTGTACCTGTAGTCTTTGAGTAGTTTTTCAGACGTGGTCTTAAGAAGAGACCTGCACTGATACCTGGTGTGCAATGTGCTGCACAGGGATACTTCTGCCAGCATGCCCAGTTTCCCATTTGTGCTGTCGTTTGTCAGTCCAGTGGGTGTGTGGGGGGTGTTGCAGTTATGCTGAACTGTGAAGCTAATTTCCCTCTGGACAAGCAGAGAGATGGTGTTGGTGAAAGCTTTATTTCCTCTTTTAGGGAATTGGGTATGTGCCTCCAAGCCAAGTTGGTATGACAGGAGTTGAGAATGCAGCAGAAGCACCAACAGAGGAGGAGACACAGGTTTGTGTCTTAAAAGGAGACAAAGAACAAGGAACACCAGGTTTCCCAGGTTGTATTTGCCACTGCAGAACTGCTGCTTCAGAGATGGGTGGCAAAACAGCAATTTGGACTGAACTCCTCCAGACTCTCCCAGTCCCCTTCTTTAGCACCATCCTGTCCTCCACTTACAGAACTGGTGTCCTATGGATGGTATTGCCATGGGAAAGATTCATTTCCATCCTAGGATTTGTATTTCTGATAAATTCCCGCTATGTGCATGCTGAAAGTTCATTTAAATCATAATGCTATGAGTTGAGAGCAAGAATCATTCCAAGTTTTTTTTTCTCTTTCAGTCTACTGACTCAGAAGATAACCTGGTGCAGGGGAGGAAGGCTTCTCTTTCTGACCTAACAAGCATTGGAGACATCAGTGAGTTGTCTGTGCGACAGCTGAAGGAAATTCTTGCTCGCAACTTTGTCAACTACAAAGGCTGCTGTGAAAAGTGGGAGCTGTTGGAGAGGGTGACTCGGCTTTATAAAGAGAAAGACCTTCAGCATCTAGGTGAGAAACTTTGTGTGTGTTTTCCTCTTCTTCAGTTGCAGAAGGGAATAAATTCTACCTGATGTTTCTTCCTGCAGGTTAGAATAGAGGTTTAAGTTCTAGTATATGCATTATAGTGAAAGGAGCTCAACTATGAATCGTTTCTAAGGATTAGTGGTTTAGGTTAATGAGGAGAGCATTATGCTAGCTGTGGAGAGTGACTTCCCTGTAGTAGCAGTAAAGGAGAACCAGCTCAGGATTTCATAATGCTGTGGCAGGTTGTGCATGTTGCTGCATCACCCACAGATCAGCTGATTGCAACTACAGACAGATGAATGCAACTGCTTTCATCACTTGGCTCATGGTAACAGGCAGAGTGAGCAGGAAAGTGCCTCACCATAAACCACTGAGATGCAGCTGCTCTGTTGAGAGCAGGCATGTGGTCAGCAATTGGCTCCCACTGCTGAACTGCTGTGGTTACCTGTGCTTTGGTCTCATTCACTTTATCACAAAAGGGATCTTCCTGAGCTCTCTGCACAGCTGACTGATGAGAAGACAGTGGTGTGTGCTGATAAGAGTGCATCTGACTTGACTTTCAGGTCCCAGTGTGCAGTTTCTGGTAATTAAAAAAACCAAAGCCACGAAACAAAAACCACAATATGCTTATATGCTTCTGTTTCACGTAATTTATAGCAGTGTTATGTTGCTGCGTTTTGTGCTTTTGAAGGAACGTATCCTTTGGCTTTGATTACTGCTTACCTGTTTGTGTGCATGTGCTCGGCTGTGTTTGGCCATAAAGGTGAGATTGTTTAACATCAAAGAAACTGGCACAAGGGCTGCTGGAAGTGCAGTGGTAGTACTGCTGAGGAACTTTCTTCCCAGTTTCTCTTATTCCCACCAAGTAACTTTCTCTCTTTATGTTGCAGTTTCTGACACCGATGATCAGACTGGTAAGTAATATTCTGCATGCTGCTGCGTTTGTGTCATTTCTAAGAACCTCAGTGCTACCCCATCCATTTCTATTGTGCAGAAAACACTCTGCAAAAGCTAAAGCTTCCTGCTTCCCTGCTGCTGGGAGCAGCCATATACCCACGTGAATGTAGATGCAAAGGGGATTTTTCAAAGCTTCAATGCATGAATGCATCAGAAGACGACCCGCAGACTGCGCAGTGACATTCCTTTGTCTCCCTTGTTTACCCAGGTGCTGCTGGGCTTCCTGGTGTGGAGGACAACCTCTGCAAAATCTGCATGGACTTACCCATAGACTGTGTCCTGCTGGAGTGTGGCCACATGGTCACCTGCACCAAGTGTGGAAAGCGAATGAGTGAGTGTCCCATATGTAGGCAGTATGTGATAAGGGCTGTCCATGTCTTCAAGTCCTAAGCGTGCATAAGGGAGACTGGTGATGCCTTAAAGCCTCATCTGCTGTTAGAGAAAGGGGTGAAGTTGCTACAAAAAGTTAGAGATTAAGATGCAGGCCCTGCTGGAAGCGAGGGAAGGATGAAGCCTGGGGAACTGCCTACTCAAGCCATGTTTGCCTGTGCTCTTTCCACCCTATTGTTTTACACCACAGTGCCTGGACTCCCTGGAGCTTATTGTCAGCAGCAGACAAGTAATTAGCAACCTCCATTCTAGAGTAACTGGATCCACAGGTGGGACAAATGGATGCCTAGCTTTCCACCATAGATCCTGAAGGTTCCTGTTTTTCACTGAGTAAAAAACACAGTAAACTGTGGTCTCAAAGTGACACATTTTGCTGCTATTGAATGTTGACTCTACTTCTGTTGTGTTGGGCAACATTCCCACTGACAGCTTAGTTTTCAAGGAATAAAATCCTATTTTTTTTATTTTCCCCTAAATTTATTAGCTGCTTTTGCTTGCAGGACAGGCAGATTGCCTCCAATTTCCATCTTCAGAATAAGCTTAATTCTAGCCTAGTAGGGTTATGGAGAAAATGTATTGTTTTATTTGAAGATGGGCTTTGGATTACTGAAAAAAATAATAGGTAGTGAAAGACTGTGAAATACAGCTTTAGCCTGCCTGCAGTTCATTGTGCCAGCAGGACAAGGATGTACAGTCTGCTGCTGTTGATTTCTTTGACTTTGTAGGTTTCCTTACAGTGCAGCTCAGCAGTCACTTCATGTGATTAAGGAGCTAAGAATTCACAGCTTGAGCATTTTAGATTTTGTGAGCTAGAGTGAGATTTCTATTGCTACACAATCATAGTTAAGTACAGGTGATGTTAGAGAGACTGGAAAGAAACTTTATCTCCCTTGAATCAATAAAATGAGAAGTGATTGCAGAAGCTTGTTTACTCCAGCCCTGCTGCACTCAGCTTAGCACAAGTCTGTATTTGGTGATTGCTCTGCCTGTGAGGGTGGCTGGGTCTGTGGTGTGATGGTGACAATCACGAGCCTTTGGAGCCGTCCTGGTGAAGAGTTTGTTCTCTTGGAGGCCTTGCTAGAGAGAACAGATGGGCGCACAGAGGCCTGCGAGGGCTGGGCTGTTGGGCTCAAAGTTCCAGAGTTTTGATGCCTTAAGTTTTTGCCACTGTGGGACTGCGTATTTTTTTCTGAGTGATTCTGAACTTGAGTACCTTCTGCTGCAGGTTTTTCCTGCCCAACTTTCCCTTTTATCATGTGGATCAAACTAAATCTATGTGTGGGTGTCAAGAGTGGAATAGGATGAAACAAGTCTTGGCTTAAAGCTTCTGGAGTAGTGGAAATGCAGTTGCAGAAGTATCATTCAAGCCATCTTACTATCTATTGAAGCAATGTTAGATAACAGCAAATCAACTTTGCAATATTTAACGTGCAATCTTTAATGCTGCATGAGTGGCAACACCCTCAGCTGGCGCAGAGCAGAGGGGCTCTGCTTTACAGGTGGCAATTATGGACTTAAGATGAAGACATCCATCGTGCCACAGCTAACAACCTCACACTGCTGAGGTGGCCTCTGAGCTTCCTGACTAAAAACAGGACAGCTGTTGAGGCTTATTCAACTCAAAATACTGAGTTTTCTTCCCCTGTTGAGGTTGTTCTCTAATACTTGGCTTAAGGTTTAACAGCTTCCAGCATGAGAACTGATGCAATTCAACACATCATGTTCAAAAAGTGCAGATAAGCATTAACTATTTACTCTTCAGGAGATTCACAGGGAAATCTTTAAGAGATACAGAGAATACACAAACAAAGCTTTGAACAGTCTCATGGGTAAATTCACTGTGAGAATTCATGTCATTTTTCAATAACTCAGGATGGGGGCATGTAGCAAGATCATTCCCCCGGGGGCAGATCTGCTTTTACAGGGTAGATTTATTTTCTATGGTAAATACATCAAGCTGCAAATCGATGGCAGAAATTCTATGACTGAGAAAAGGTACCCATCTGAAGTCTGAGGTGTGCTTTCGGGAGGGAAAAGCACCTTTTTCTGACTACGCTGTTTTGCTTGTGTTAAATCAAAATCTGAAAGAACTGCTTAATAATCCGAAGGAATATAGTGATCTGAACTAATAAATGGAGATATTTATGTGCTTTATGTACACTGTACATAGTTTAAATATTTTAAAGTTAATATTCTACTTGAAATGGCATGTTATTCTCTATCAGCTCCTCTCGGTACTACGATAGTTAAACTCACTAGTTTTGGTACAGAAGTTTGGTTTATAATTTTATAATAAAGTTAAAATGTGATTTAGTTAACCTTGTTTTCTGACTCTGTTGCCAGCAGCCCAGGACAAAGCAGGGAGCCTACAGCTACTTAGCCAGCAAAGGTTTGGGATATCAGGTGCTTACATACCACAAGGTGAGCTGCAAGGAGAGTCTGGTCAAAGGAAAAGAGGATACTGACTTTTTAGCAGTATCTTAACTTTATGGAGAGAGGGAGAGCACACTTTAAGAGGATGGATGATGGGATACTGCTGCAGTGTAATGGAAACTTACTTGGTGCCTTCCCTTAATGTGAAACCTACACATATGTGCAAACTGCTGCTAGTTAACATTCAAAGGTCTGTAAAAAGACAGGAGAAAAAACAGAACTCAGCCCTGCCCAAGGACACAGCAGTGGTGCAGGACTTAGCCTGCAGCAACTGGCACTACAGCCTGTAGTTCCAGATGTGATGGTCTGTTAGTCTGTCCAGACAGAAAATAAGCTTTGGAAATGAAGTTCTGACAGCAAAGGAGAAACTGCTTCCATTTTTTTATTTATTTATAAAAATACCCAAACTTTAAAAACCCATTGACATGAAACCAGCACCGAGGTAAGAGCGCTGGTCTACACTATGGGCAGAAAGACAGACAGCAGTGACATCCTTCGGAGAGCTATTTTAATTCATTCCATTCCATATAGCTGCTATGGACAGTTGTAACTACCTCTGATGGACGTGGGCAAGACCTCTCTATCCACATCCCCACAAAGGACTCTCACCCTTTTCTTCCACCTCCCCACTTCCCAGCTGCTCCCCTCGGGGAGTTCCTGAAGCGTAGCAGTGCTAAGAGCACTCAGCTGCCCTGCCTGCTAGCAGGGGGCCACCAGTCTCCGTTTCCGGATGCATTCCCAGATCCATTTGGGAGACACCTGCTTAGCACCAGGGTTCTCATCCACGTCCCCAATCACGTGTGTTGCTGAGGCTGTGTCATACTCTGACACGAGGTCGCCATCGTATGCGATGAAGTAGCGCCGGAGTTTGTTGAAGTCCTTCACAGAGGGTGACAAGTAGAGCTTCACACCAGTGAATATATCCAGCAGCAGCTGTGTAGTGCGAGAGAGAAGCAAAGGTTGGTTAAAAGAAAAGTAGAAATTATCCTATGTATAAAATACCCTAAAACTGCACTTCGGGCTGCATTACATCACACTGAAGAGTAACACTGATACAGCTTCCTTGAACAGCAGAAGCTAAAACAGCAGTGCCACGGCCAAGGGAATTATTACCTCATCAGTAGCAAGTGCTGCCTTTAGTGCTGGCGTGGTCAGGTGAACATGGTCTTAAGTGGGAGACTACAATTGCCCCAGGAGTGGACTTGCTATTTACATCAAGTAGCAAACAGGTACTGCAATCCTATCAGTAAATTATAGCTCGGCGATTCTTAATCCACTCCTACACTTTACTGCACAATGAGCTAGAAAGGACAATTCTCTTCCTTTACAGCTCTCATCTCTTCTATATGCAGCCACTCAGCACTCACAATGCATTGCCTCTGAAGAGCAGGACATTGTTGGTTGCTGAATAGAGAGCCTTTAGCACGACAAACCTAGCAGTGTCAGTGCTGCTGGTATAAAAAAAGTGCTGCAGAAATCTGCTTTCTCTACAGGAGCCTCATCATCACTATTTCTGCCCTTAGATTTCCTTTTAATTTCGGATGCTGCTGTGGAAACATTTTGAAGGCTTCCCATGTAGAAAGCAGAAATGGACAATGCCTCCACTTTTTCCCCCTCCTGCATGGTTGCTACCTAACTGTCCATACCTTCTTTCCATTGTCTTCTATCTCAGATGCTTTTCGCTTCTCTCCTCGTTTCTCCTCTGGCTTCTGAGGGGATTCAGCGACTGCTTTGGTGCCTAGAAACAAAGACGAGTCTCACTGTGCTGCTGTCTACATAGCAGCTGTATATTAAAAGCAGTCAGAGAAAAGTGAGGATAAGAAAAGGTAAAAGGCTTTCCCTTTCAAAAAGTTGTTCTGAAAAGTCTGTGCATTAGAACATAACTGGTAAGATGCTTTCTACCACTAATGGCCCAGGGCATCTTCCTGCCTTTTCTCCAGCTGGCTACACAGCACAGCTTTCCTCCTAGCTGTCACCATTACCACCTTTCTGGGATTGCTCAGAAGTTTGCTTCAAGTCATTCTGCAGTGCATGGCTTTGCAGCTACTATCTGGAAATCCCCTCCAGGTACCTTACCCTGTATGTGTGAACTTAAGCCAAATAAAATTAAATACTGGTTCGTGGCCAAAAATATCTCACTGAAGGGCATGCAGCTGCAGGAACAGGAGCAGCAGGTTTGCTGCTCAGACCAGTCTTACACATTCTGTTAAGGACCACAATTAAAGACAAAAAGGAACTGCAAGTCCCTGAGAAATTACATCATAATTGAGACACCAACACAAGCCAAAGCAAGGGTTGAAAACAGCTTTGCCCATTAACCATAAGATGTTTGTAAAAGCAATGTACAGAAGGCAAAGAACACACCGTGAGGTTCTCCTCCCTGGTGGGGGCCTTACCTTCTGGTTTCTTGGCTTTTGCAGGGGACTTGTTAGGGAGAGTTTTAGTCATCTTGTGTGGTGTGGAAGACCTGGAATTTCCCTCATTCTCTCCACTGCTGCCAGCTGTGGACTCTTCCTCCTCCCCAGCAACAACACTGAACTCAGCCTTTTCTTTGGAGAGTTGGTACAGCTCCTGCCCGAGCAGAAACAAAGCATTCTCTTTAGCCACAGTGAAACCTGATAAGAGACAGGAGTAGTAACGCATGTGCTCCTCTCATTTTGTATCCCCAACCCATGCAGTGTTTGCTCTTCCATTTCTTCTTCCTGCACCTCTCTGTCACTACTTTTCTGTCAGCTGTGTTCAAGCTCTCTGCTTTCTACCCAGCTGCTTGACATTAAGGGAAGCCACGCATTATCATCATCTACCAGTGAGCAAACCAGACTAACTCCTCAGAGTCTGGCTCTCTGGACTGAAAAATGGCCAACACCCAACATTCTGCACGAGAGTATTTTACCTCTCTCTCCCCTACCTGCACAGCGAGCCAAAAGAATGGACAGCAGAGGGACTGAATCACTCCTTTCTTCGATGGCATAACAAGCACTTACATCTGCTGTCAGTATCCCTGTAGGCAGCGTGGAGACAGCCCAAATGACAATGACTAGACTGAGAACAGAGCACATCAACAGCTGACTTACTGCTTGGGGTGGCAACAGGCCAAATGGTTTCTATCACTAAAGGAGGCATAGAAGCTGCGTGGGGTGGTGCAGCCCTGGGTGCTGGGCAAGCTGCCATTTGGCCTCTGTGTCATGGAACCAGGCCAGGCTACCCTTAGTCACTTCCCAGATGCCTCACGCAATCGCAGCAATTAATGGGAAATCAAATGACCATAAACGCTTAAGAGAATTAAGGTCAGATCTTTCAGGAAGGAAACTGCTCACCATGAAGGCAGTTACAAGAGCTGATAGAACTGGCTGCCAGCACAAACTTTCCCGGAAGCACAAAACAGCAGCTCATGAGACTCAAGGAAAGAAAAAAAAAAGAGACCCATGAAAAAAAATAAGATTGACATCAAAATAGTCCAGGAAACAGCCTGAGCCCAGAATAAATGGAGCACAAAACATGCCACTGGAGGTGCTGGTCAGCAAGTGTCCTCAGTGCTTATCCTATCAGAATTTGTCTTTTTAAGTACAGGCTGCTGTCAGAACTTAGTGGCAAGCGCGCTGCAGAGAAGCAGGCCATGTTAACTCACCTTCAGCTGCGGGAGGTTGGTGGCTGACTTCCAGTCTTTGTCATCTCGAATGCGAGTGCAGCGAGGGAAGCGAATGGAGATCCCATCTGCAGTGTGGGCTTCAGCTTTGGAGAACTCAGCCCCTGTAATCTCCCACACTGGAGCTTTCTGAACACAGCAGTGAGGAAGGAAGCCACGTCACGCTGTTGTGTTCTCTCGTGAACTGACCTTAATGCATCTGTGTTCCTCTACTTCTACAGCACCTTGCTCCCGCTCCCAGCACCACAGAGTTCCATGGATACCTCCCAGCCACCTTAATTAGGACAGCTTCTATTTATTTTTTATTCCAGTGAACCAAAAGATCTTCCATTAATATATACTGCCAATTTCCTTGTATCCTATCACACATAAATGGCACAGATCATACTGGTACATTCAGCATAACAACAATAGCAGCTTCTGGGTTACAGCTGTCTTTCATCTGATTTAACTATGCTCTAACTGCTTCTTCTAAGTAAGCTCACTTCTGGGAAGGATTTAATGTATAAAAACATTTCCTAGAGGCACTGCAGGTGTGACTGCCTCATGAAGCTCTTAGTCTCAAATGCACCTCCAAGATTCAGAGATAAAAACTCATGCTTCAATTCCTCTCCCAAGCATGAAGACTGATTTTGTAACAGGGATAAGCTGTACAATTATAGAAGAAGGAGGTTGCTGTACTGGGGCTGGAAAACATTTAATGATTTTAATCACTTACCTTTGGATCTGGGACAATGAAGTCTGGGTAGTAGATTTTGTTTATTTTCAGCCAGCTTGGAATTTTACTAGGATCCTATTAAGAGCACAAAAACAAGGTAACACTTATGATCATACACTAATCAAATCCTGCAAGGGAGGCTGCTGAAAGATAATGTTGCAGTAAATTGGCAAACATGTATTTAATTGCCTCTGTATGGATTAAACTTGCTGTAACCTGCAGAGCACTGATTTCTCCTCTTGAGAATCACAAAAGATTACCTGCAGCACAGCTGTTACCTGTTGGCATGCCATACATAACACCACCATGTTCCTCCAATTGTAATTCATATGAAATCATACATTTTTAAGATTCTATAACCCAGATGCCAGCAGCCTTCAGGATCTCAAGTAAATATTAAAGTTCAGCTGTTTGTGTGCTAGGTCTGGAAAAACACCATTCTGCACTTTTGTTTATGCCCCACGAAGTTCAGCATTTCAGGCTATCCAGCACCAAGGCTATCCACCACATCCTGACAAGCA